GAAGATGCCAGCCACAGATGCTGGCGAAACGTCAGGAATAAACTTTTCCAGAACATAGCCACATAGCCTAAAAAACGCACCAAAACATCAGTGTTGTTGGACAATAGAGAGCAGAGTTTGATTGATCAGAAGAAAAAAGAAATGTGGGCTGATCCACAGGTGGCATGCACCCTCCTTTCCTTTCCCCTTGGAGCTGAGACCAGCCACTTCTCCATTGTCTGAATTGCATCCCTCCACTTCCCAGCAATACACATCAACATCAATAGCTCCTTCCATGGCTTGACAACTGTCTAGAGGTGGGAATGAGTGCTTGGATGGGCACAAAGGACCAGAGAATAGCTCTTTTTGCCCCATAACAGCATGTAAGTCATGCTGACACTGAAAATGTCACTAGTCAGATGCCATCCCAAGTGCAATTTACATTTTGTGGGCATTTCAAAGAATGTGGTCCTTATGCCCCTTTGCTGCCTATTGCTCCACAACTCAACATTAAAAGAAGTTCAGGCCTCTAAAATCTCTGATTTTCCAAGTCAAACCTGAATGCATAGCTCTGCTCCCTGCTGGGTGTTCAATTATCCACTCCTCCTTTTTTTGTTTCTCTAGAAATCTCTGGCAGGCAAGAAAAACCGGGGTGTTATTGAGCTGCCAGTCCCCATTGACTGAGCTAAATGAGATGGTTGACAGGTTTGACTCAGTATAAAGTGCCTCTGTAAGAGAAGACCCAGGAAAACGAAAGGATGTAGTTCAGGAAACAAAAGATAAGGAGATCCCTTCCCCAACACCAATATCTGGATAGCAGGCTGTAGTGGTGGTTGGTGCTGCCATGTCATTGGGGCAGTGATTCCACTCCAAGTTTTATTCCAAAAGGAGCTCTCCAAAGTGCTGGAAATTTTGGGCAGAAAGTTCAGCATTTTGGATAGTGCCTTTAAACATTAAATTAAAGCCTGTAGGGGATCCACTTCTCCCCTGATATGAAATCCATTGGCCATCACCACTGGGACACTACCTGTTGGGCCAGCCTTTCTATTAAGCAAGGTGACACTATTGCTTTGGGTAAAAGATGCTGGCACAGAGCACCAAATGTTAGAAAAGAGAATTAATTGTACAGCAAGTTGCATGCCCTGCAACCTTTAAACTACTCTTTTATCTTAGGTGTGGAATAAAACCTGGAATGGTATCACTGATGTGAATATCACTTGCAAATTTTGTCATTCTTGTTAATAATAATAATAATAATAATAATAATAATAATAATAATAATAATAATAATAATTTTATTTTTACCCCGCCCCTCTGTGCACAATCGGGGCGGCTGACAACAATTAAAAATACATACAATATGAATCTAAAAGACCCAACATCCACTAAGAAAAACTACCACTTTTGGGGACACTTCTATCTGAGTTAAAACCTCTCATTTTTATGCAACACTCCCCTCACAGCCCAGGTTTTATATGAAGAAAGCCTAACATTATGGTGCAGAAAACTGGCTTCAGCACAAATTGTGATGTGTGTAAAAATTCTGAGATTATTATTTATTTTTTTTACTGCCAAAAACAAAACAGAATTTTAATGCAAATTAATTTTTAGAGAAGTTCAATGCAAGGGGGGGGGAAGCAAAGTGCAAAAATGCCTCCCCTCAAAATCAAATGCAACTTTCCCAACTCACAAGTCATATGTGCAAACAAGGTTGATAGGTTGTGTTTTTTTTTTTTTTGGCAGATTTTTCACACACACACACACACACACACACACACATTCCTAAAGCTTAAAAATTCCACACCAAAAATCCATATAAACTCTCATAATCTTGCCCAGCAGGGAGAAAATATTTAATTTTTTTATTCTTGGATGTGAGAATCAAACAAGTAATAAGAGAAGGTGCTCTTGTTAGGCCTAACAAAGGGGTTTCGTAGTATTTTGTGGGTTTTTCGGGCTGTGTGGCCATGTTCTAGAAGAGTTTCTTTCTGACTTTTCGCCAGCATCTGTGGCTGGCATCTTCAGAGAATGCTGGAATGGAAGAGAGTGGGTATCCATTCCAGCATTCTCTGAAGATGCCAGCCACAGATGCTGGCAAAATGTCAGAAAGAAACTCTTCTAGAACATGGGTGCACAGCCCGAAAAACCCACAAAATACTATGGATACCAGCCATGAAAGCCTTCGACTTTCACAAAGGTGTTTTGTGACACACAAAGGAAGGAGGCATCCTGGATCTCAGGGGAAGTAACTGTTTGCACTACAAATGGAATTTAAATTTTATCTCCTGGACTTTGGAAGGCTTTGGTTCCCTGTGCCGGATGACCAGGAGGAGGAAGGGCCTGCCTGCATAGATATCTCTCCATACCGACTTAACTATCCCTCCATACCAGCTTAACTCCTTCCTTGGAGGTCTTTAAGCAGAGGCTGGATGGCCATCTGTCGGGGATGCTATAATTGGGAGTTCCTGCATGGCAGGGGGTTGGGCTGGATGGCCCTTGTGGTCTCTTCCAACTCTATGATTCTATGATTCTATGAACAATGAAATCCAGATCTACGACTAGCATCGTCATATATATATTATTTTCTCTTGTGTGATTTTCAACACCTTTGCCTGATGAAGAAGCCAGTGGAGCTTTGAAAGCTTGCAAAATGTCTTGTATGCATTCTGGTTGGCTCAATAAAGGCACCACTGTTTTCTGGATTATGGATGTTATTGTACATTGAGATCAGTGTTCAGGACCTTGGATAGCTCCTGCAAAACTAATAAGTTGCAGCCTGGAGTTGATTCACTGTCTTGCTAACAATGAAGCTACTGCAAAGAGAGGACATCTTGCTGTTCTCTGACTCTGACTCAGGCAGCAAAATATCTTGGGCCACCTTGAAGGCATGCCAAGAGAAAGAGAGGTTGCAGAAGTTTGCTAAGCCGCACTCACACTGACATCTTCCCGTTTTGACATTCAGATCCATGTGATCAGGTACCCATCTTTGAGCCCCATTCTTAAGAAAACATTAGTAGTAGATGCAAGATGTATCATCAGAGAGTAAACACCTTCCTCCTTCCCATATAGAAAATGCATTTTGAAGTACATAGTTTTCTTGAATCTGTGTCCTTTTCAGCCTAGGGTACGGAGCTGCCTTCTAAACCCTATAATTTCCAGTCTTTTCATAAAGCAGTATGTTGCTGAAGAAAATCAAGGGATGGGAGACAGGAGTGGGTTGATGAAGCTGACATAAAGTCCCATCATGGACAGGGGCAAAGTTCCTGGGTTGTTATTGTTGTTAACTGCTGTCAAGTTGACTTTGACTTATGAACACACCTTGATTTGCTCTATCTCCTGTTTGTTGTTGTGTGCCTTCAAGTCATTTCCGACTTATGGCAACTCTAAGACAGCATGGCATAGCGGTTTGAGCGCTGGACTGCGACTCTGGAGATCAGGGTTCAAGTCCCAGCTTGGCCATAGAAATCCACTGGGTGACCTTGGGCCAATCACACTCTCTCAGCCTCAGAGGATGGCAATGACAAACCTCCTCTGAACACACCTTGCCAAGAAAACCTCATGATACCCTTAGGATCACCATAAATCGGAAGTGACTTGAAGACACACAACAACAACAACAACAACAAGAAGGCAGACCTATCCTGGGGTTTACTTGGCAAGATTTGTCCAAAGGAGGTTTGCCATTGCCTTCCCCTGAGGCTAAGGACCAAACCCATTTATTTGTCTTTTTAGCAGTCCACAGTGTCTAGCATCCTTCTCCAGCGTCAGATCTCAAAGGATCTTCCTGTTCTCTTTCTTAACTTCACTCTCCAGCATTCACAAACATACATAGAAATGGGATCTTGTCTAGTTCCTCTTCCAAGTCCTAGCTTGGGACTTCTGATTAATGACAGTTCATGAGTTGCCAGGTACATTGGGCTCAATAGCCAGGGAGTATGTTTTAAATGGCTGGGAAATACCTGGCCTGGCCTCATAAATTGCTCTTTTCCCCTAACTCCCTTAAAGATGATGTGATCTAGGTCTGTAGCAGAGACTGCTATACTTTAGTATAGCATGCGACTCCCTAGAAAAGAGAATAATGCTTAGTAAGGTGAGAACCAGGATGGCATAGTGGTTTGAGTGTTGGACTGCAACTCTGGAGACCAGGGTTCGAATCCTGGCCCAGTCATGGAACCCCACTGGGTGACCTTGGGCAAGTCCCACTCTCTCAGCCTCAGGGGAAGGCAGTGGCAAAACTCCTCTGAACAAATCTTGCCAAGAAAAACCCATGGATTCCCTTCAGGTTGCCATAAATTGGAAATGGCTTGGAGGCACCACAACAATAACAACAACCACAACAACAATAGATTGACATAGCTGCATTGTCTAGAGCTGCTGCCACATTGCAGAATCAATGCAGTTTAACACTGCTTTAACTGTCATAGCTCCATCCTATGGAATCCTGGCATTTGTAGTTTGCTGTGCCACCACAGCTCTCTGATACAGCAGGCTAAATATCTCACCAAACTACAAATCCCAGAATTCCATAGTACTGAGCCATGGGAGCTAAAACAGCCCCAAGCCGTGTTATTTCTGCAGTGTAGATGCAGCCTAAGATGCTGGGAGCCCAGGATTGGAATCCTCCCTCAGACCTGGAAACCCACTGGGTGACCCTGGGCAAGTCACACTCTCTCAGCCTCAGAGGAAAGCAAAAACAGGGCCCAGGTGAGGAAATTTTGCCAAGAAAATCTTATGATTGGTTCACCTTAGGGTCAACATAAGCAGGAAAGGACGTGAAGCCACACAACAAGAAAACATCAGATGTCAGAAATAGAGTTTAGGTACCGCAAGAAAAGGGGGAAACAAAGTGACCAAGGAAATGCAAACACAGCAAATAAGGGTTGAGTCTCCTTATCTGAATACTCTAAGAAAACAGAACTTTTTTCATGGGTTCCTTTCTGATGGTTCGATGTACAGAAACTTTGCCCCATGTGCAACATTATTTAAAATATCGTATAAAATTACCTTCAGGCTCTATGTATAAGGTGCATATGAAACATAAATGAATTTCATGTTTAGACTTGGGCCCCATCTCCAGGATATCTCATGATGTACATTTTTGCAAACACAGGTATTCCAAAAATGTAAAACCTCCCAAATCCAAAATACTTCTGCAGAAGACTTCTAGGTGCAACTGATTTTCAATGTCTCACTCTCTGCAATGCTAGAAATTTGTGGAATGATGGAATTTTTTTGGACGGGGGCAGAATTTTCATTAGGAGGAGAAATGTCCTCATTTTGTCTGTGAAAGTAGAAAAACAGCAGTTTTGGGGACAGAAAGCCAAATTTGGGGGACTCAGGGGTGTTTGGTGAAAGAATCATAGGGCACATTTATACCACATAATTATAGTGCTATGATTCCAGTTTGACTGTTGTGTCTGTATCCTGAGGAATTCTGGGATTTATAGCCTGAGGATGGCCTAAAACTCTCTGATGAAAATTCTAAATATTTCCCCCTAAACTGCAAATTTCATAAGGTTGAGCCACCGCAGTTAAAGCGGAATCATAGCGCTATAACTGTGTCAATGTGAAAGAGCCCATAAAATCATGGAATTGTAGAGCGTAGAAATGGAAGGTACCCCAAAGATCATATAGTCCAACCCTCTGGCAATGCAAGTATCCACAATGAATAAATCTGGATTTAAACACCTCCAACAAAAAAAGATTCCAGCACCTTTTGAGAACTCTGTTCCTCTGTCAAACAGCTCTTACTGTACGGAGGTTTTTCCTAATATTGGTTTGACTGTCCCTGCCTGCGTGTGTGTGGTTTAAGCTGCCTTCCCCACCTATGTTCACTCTAAATATTGGTAAATAAATTCAAATATTATAGAATAGCAAAAGCCACAGCTGCTCTATTACCAAAGGATTCCAGAACTAACTACGTAGGTGCCTCACCCGGATATTTCTTATCTCTCAGAAAACATAGGGGAAGCGTAACAATAGACCAACAATGCATAAAGTCTTCCAGCCAAAGGAAGCTAATGGCAAAATATTAGGCATATTCAGATGTTGATAGCAGGAGGCCTTAATCTGCATCGGCGCTTGCTAGGAATTATGTTATCACTTATTTCTGTGCTGGTTCTTAGCCTCTCTAGGAAGGCTGACAAAAATACAAAATCCAAAGGTGGTGGTGGTGGTGGTGGGGAAATGCAAGTTTCAGTGAAGCAATAATAATAATAATAATAATAATAATAATAATAATAATATGTATTTTTACACCGCCCCTCTGCATAACACAACCAGGGTGGCTTACAACATTAAAGTATACATTTCATACCCCACAATCCCACCCACCCCTTAAAATACTATTAAACAATGACAATTTAAAACACATTTAAAATAATAATACAAATAAACAATCATATCTTTAAAAGAAAAAGCTAGAAGCCAAGGCCACCCTTTTCTATGACTTAAGCTAGAAAAAAGTACAGCTGGAAGGAGGAAGAAGAGAAAGAGAATTACAGGAGATCCCACCTGAACATTAAGAAGAACATCTTGATGGTAAGAGCTTTTCAGGAGCGCAATGGCCTGCCTTGGAGGCCTTTAAACAGATTAGATGGTCCACCTTTCGGGGGTGCTTGTGTATTCCTGCATGGCAGGAGTTTAGACTAGATGACCCTTGAGGCCCCTTTCAGTTCAAACTTTTTCCTATTCTAAGAAACGGCAGCAGTTTTAGTTATGTCTTGCCTATCCCTGCAAAACTGAGATGTCGAATGTCGAAAGAGAGCCCCAGTCCTATGAAGTTTTATTATTATTTTTAATGTTTTATTGCAAAAGAGATTTTAATCTGTATAATGATTTAATATGTTTTTAAGGGGGGAATTCATTGTTGACTGTATGGGTGTTATTCTTTTTAACTTGTAAGCCGCCTTGATAGCCTCGGCTAAAGGCGGGGTATAAATAAAGTTTATTATTATTATTATTATTATTATTATTATTATTATTATTATTATACGAACACAACAAAAACCCTGCTGGATCAGACCCAAAGTCAGGCACCCTCTTTCCACAGGGGCCAACCAGTATGGAAAACCCATGGGCAGATTGGGATTGCAAATGCATCCTTTATCTTGAGTTACTCCCAACAGATGAACAATGGACCCATGCCTCTGACACTAGAGGGAATACTGAACCATCCTGAGAACCAGGCATTAGCAATAGCCACAGTAGCTTCATTTATATACCACTTCATACCGTACTAAACAGTCTTTAAGCCGTTTACAACTGCAAGCTCATTGCCCCCAACAAGCTGGGTACTCTTTTTAGCGACCTATGAAAAGATGCCAGGCTGAGTTGACTCTGAGCCCCTGGCTGGGACTGAACTCACAACCTTTTGGTTTGCGAGTGAATAGCTGCTGTACTGGCATTTAGCCACTGCACCACCAGGTCATTTTGATTCATAGGGGAGGCAGTCTTCATCCTCCTCCATGAATTTCTCTAATCCGCCCCCTGAAGTCATCCAAAAATTGGCAGCCATCACCACATCTTGTGGCAATGAGTTCCACAGTTTAACTATACAGTTGGCCCTCCGTTTTCATGGGGGATCCATTCCGGACCACCACCACCAGAGATTTGTGAATATTCAAGCCCTATAGGTTTGAATGGAGCACGTCCTCGTGGGCATGCGCCCCATTGTTTTAAACAGAGGTCGCCCCTCTATGAATATATAAAACCATGAAGATAAAGTCCACGAGAACAGAGGGGCGACTGTATACTGTATGAAGTACAAATGCATCTGAGAGAGTAGATTGAAGCCTACGAAAACTCCTGCTGCCAACTTCTTTCTTTCAGTTAGTCTCAAAGGTGCTATGAGATCCATTTTCCAGAGCAGCAACCAGTATGCAGTATTCCATATGCGGTTATACAATAGATTTCTACAAAGACAATACAGGTTGAGGATCCTTTATCTGGAATTCTAAAATCTAAAATACCCCAAAATCATCCGCATGAATGGCTGAGGCAGTAACACTTTTGCTTTCTGATGGTTTGTGCACGCAAACTTTGTTCCATGCACAAAACTATTTTAATATGTTATGTACAAAATGACATTCGGGCTATGTTTAAAAGGTGCATACAAAACATAAATGAATTTCAGGTTTAGACTTGGATTCCATCTCCAAGTTATGCATGTATGTGCAAATATTCCAAAATCCATCCAAATCTGAAATCCAAAACACTTCCAGTCCCAAGCATTTTGGATAAAGGAGACTCAACCTCCATAGCCCCCTTTTTAGAACCGAAGTTGCAGGGGTTTTATTGGTTTCTACTGTTTGCTTGCTTTTATTTGTTATGTTTTGAATTGTTAGTTGGTTTTATTGACATGTAGTTTAATGACTTTTTAAGGAGGGGAGAGAATTATATTATTTTAAGCTGTATGCATTTTAGTCTTGTAAACCGCCCAGATTGGCTTGCCACCGGGC